TTTTCGTTCTATGTTATGATTTGCCTGAGTTTTGTACGAGGTTTCCGTTTTTATATTTTCATTTTTTCCATAGCGCATGAGCTGGAACTTATCTTCTTTAAACACCATATTATTTTCTGTAGCCCATAGAAAGACCTGATCTACATCTGACTGGAGGTTCGCCGTGTCCTCTATGTTGCCTACTCTCATGAAGATCCTAGTGTCATCTGCAAAGGATGATACAGTGCTATAGGTTGTGTTTTTGTCTATGTGCTTAGCTAAATTAATTGTGGGGTTCAGTCCCTGAGCCCATTATGTGCCTCTGTAACCCTTTCCACTACCGCCCACAAGATGGGTATGGGGTGCATAATAAATGAACTAAACTAAACTAACTCATATTGCGTCACACTATTTCTTATTAACTTTATCACTTGCCCGCAGAGAATATGCCCAAGCACTTGCATTTGTAGAGCAGAAGGTTTTGCCTAACCAGCGCATGTGCCAAGATCTCAACACATGTCCAGACTTTTGTTGTGATGCTCAGCTTCTCTTCTTAGTTACCGCACAAGGTCTTATCCCATTCAACTCGAGTGGTTCTACGTTTTAACCAGTGTTCTTGATTTCTTTGTCCTTTGCCGCCTTAACTCAATTGATCCACCACTCGCCAGCTATGTCGATAGGGCTTCTCCTTTGGATCCCTGCGAGACACCTTGCCCTCCATTATGGTTTCACGTGCTTCATTAGCCTGTCAATATCTGCCCTAATCTCCAGGCAGTGCACACAGGGCCATTGTGTGTGCCATTATTCCAAGAATAATTACTAGCCAGACAATGACACTCGACTACATTTGACTAGAGCGTATTTACATAATCCTGAGCTTTTATTTATATTATAAATTTAGTACTGTACCTGGATGGCGTTCTGGAAGTTCTTTTACTCCCCAAGCCCGGCCGGAGGACCAGGCTTGACTCATTGAGCGCTTGGTCCAGCAGGCTATTGCTTGGAGCGGCCTGCAGGCCCACATATCCACCACAGCCCGGTTGGTCCTGCACTTCTTGAAGAAAACTGTCAAATTTTCTCTTGAAGACGAACACGTTTGTTCCGGCAATATTTCTTATGCTCGCTGGGAGTATGTTGAACAACCGTGAACTTCTGATGTTTATACAGTGTTCTCTGTGCCTTTGGGCCTACTCTTCAATGATTCTAATCTGAATTTTCATTTCATATCGTTCACTCCAGTATGTTGTTATTTTACTGGGATTTGGGAGCTGGCCCTCCATTATTTTCGATGTGTATATTATTTGATACGTCACTCATCTCCTTTCTAGGGAGAACATTTAGAGCTCTTAGAGACGATCCCAATAAGTTAGGTGCTTTATCGTGTCTGTCTATGCCGTTTGTTTTCTGTATTCCCTCTTTCAGTAATCTCTCCTGCTCTTAAGGAGGAAGCGAGTATCGAACAGTACTAATGACGGACAGCAGGAGTCATGTGAATAGTACAGCCATTGTGAGGGGATCCCTGGATTTGACGTTTCTCATAATCCATCCTATCATTTTTCTGGATGATGCTAAAATTGATTTGTTATGCTCCCTTAACGTTAAGGCATCAGTCATTATTATTCCCCTATCATTTACATTATGCTTTCCTACTATGGGCAGATTTCATTGTGTTTTGTACCCTATATTTTGTTTAATGTCCTCATTTTTACCGTACCAGAGTTACTGGAATTTACCAATTATAACAACAGGCTATTTTCTGCCGCCTAGTCGAAAATCTTATTGATATCCGTTTGTAGGTTATCAATGTCTTCAACAGAATTCAGTTTCATGTTGATTTGTCATCTGCAGAAGGTGATGCGACGCTGTGACTTGTATAAATGTCTATCTGATATGGGAATAAGGAAAAAAAGTGGCGCAAGGACTATACTCTGCGATAGAGCTTTTAACTGTGCTTGAACTCTTGTTTGCTTGACAGTTGCTCTGTGTTCTATTCCACATAAATTTTAATACCACCGACCTACTTTATCTGATATTCCCATTGACCTTATTTTGTGTGTTACCACTCTATGGTCACATGTATCAAATGCCTTTGAAGTCATCATATACCAAAGTGATCACTGTTTGGTGATTTTTTCTGTTTCTTCTGTTTTTCTTCTTTTCAAACTGTTTTTCTTCTAATGCCTCTGTGATTTTGTCATAGTGGTAAAGTAGCTGCGTGAGGCATTATCTTCCCACTCTAAATCCATGTTGATCTGGGTTGAGGAGATCATAGGTCTCCATATAACTGGAAACCTGCCTCCTGATCCCTCTCTCAAATACTTTTATTATGTGGGACGTTAGTGCGACTAGTCAATAATTCATTGTCATTACTTTGCTCCCTCCCTTGTAAAGAGCAAAATATGTGAAATCTATTGATTTAGGCGAATTTTGTATCTCTCCTGTGTGCAAGCTCTTTCTCCACACAATGCTACTGGCACTTGGCATTCCTTTATACATATTAAGTGCATGGGCATGTTGTCAATTTCTCCTTCAAAATCTGCAGAATTCGTGTTCGTATCAGATATATATTCAGGAATTTGCCATATCACGATTACCGTGTTATCCTCTGTATGAACCATCACTTGTAAGAATAGGTCCAATACTGACTGTGGCTTGTTTTTTTCCCATAAGTGAAGGAATATTTTGTTTTCCTTCTTTAATGCCATTTTTGTGTTCTAATTGCATTTCTAAAATGTTACACGATTGCTTTAGTCTTTGCTAGATTTTTTAAAACTGTTTAAATTATTTTATTGTTGAGATAGTCGTGTCTCTTTAGCAGTTTTTTTTTATCTTTTTGTAGCCGCGTTTGATTGTTCTTTCTACGTTGGTCCTCATTCTGTCTTTCAACAAAGGAACAAGTCTTAGACTGTGTATTCTTGGGAAGTCAGTTGTTTTGTCTTTTGTGGGATTATTATTACTTAAAACATTCAATGGAATTATTTTTAAGTTCCCTGTCTATCTTTACCCAGTCTATCGTTTTATTAAAATTGAATGTATTGAATAACCCCTCATACATGATCATTGTTTTAGGTTTATTACAGGTATTATGTTTGCTGTTCAATGAGCTTGTGATCTAAGTATGTGGTATGCGACTGTAATGTCCTTGATTATCTCTTTAGTTTGCGAAATTTTCAGATCTAGAATAATTTCGTAATTAGTTGACTCTCTGCTGGTTGAGGGAAAATTTGTCACAGAATCTAAGGAGTTCTTTAATCTGTGGTTGGCTATGTCCAGATAGATTTCCTGGTATAATATTCTTGGTCGCTAGTCTCCATCTCAGACTGGGCAGGTTGATGTCACCTAGGAAGGTATCATTTATTGGGTTTGCCAGATTATCGAGACTATTCTCTCTAATTTGTAAATTCCTCAGCCGTTGCATCTGGTGGTTTGAATATTAGAATTTGTTTTTTTTTTTTTTTATTTCCAGTAGTTAACTACCACCTCATTTCTAGAGTTAAGCTCAGAGAATACAAGGCCCTATCTTGTATACAAACTTACTCCTCCATGTGGCATTTACCCAGTCACATCTATATAAATTATATTCTGGTATCCAGATACCACTGTCAAAGATGTCTTGCATGGGTTTCTGTGAGAGGTCCAAATACTGCATTTGGCTCGGTGAGGTTATTTATGAACGGTACTTAGTTATTTACTTTTGTTTTAAGACCTTGTATGTTGGTAAAGATGAATGAGGTTACTCCATTTGGGGTAATTTGATGAAGATTTTTCAGGCAGGTCCATTATGTGTTGGGATTGTCGGTTTTGATCTGACCAGTACTGATTGTTAAAGGGTTGTTGCCTGTCGTAGCTGGAGCTTTGTTGTGGGGTGTAATTGCATGTGTGATTCTGGTAAGAAAGTGGGTCTTTCAGCCAGTTCCACACACAATGTTCTACCTTTTGAAACCTCTTTCGTCTGGGTATAAAATAAACTGGCTTCTCTCCAAAGCCATTTTCGTGTTTGTCACTTTATTTAGCGTTTTGTGCCTTCCTCGTGAAAGTGTGGACAGCTGAGGGCGTAGCATTTTCTCTCCTTGAGTGAGGTTTCGTACATGTCAGGATGGAGAAATCTGCATGTTGATTTAAAGCGACATTTTCCTTTCCTTAGTATATATTGTGACGATAATCTCTTTCAAGTGAGATTGAGCCTGCTCTTCCCTATATCATTTACGTCATTCTACAAGTACAAGATACTACATTAAAGATACGTCCACCAGTATCACAAAACGTTTTGCCCAGGAAGCAAAGCGTACCTTGCACCACCAGACACAGCGGCTCTCCACCCGTCGTCAACGAGCAAACTACCCATTCTCCGCCTGCCTGCTCCTGATTGGCTGGTGTATCGCCGACAGCACCTGCACTCACGCCCTCTACCTGAGTCGACGTCTGGGCCAGCTCACGCCGTCCTCCTCAGAATATCTTTGTGCTCTTAGGAGTTGACATCTCTGATAGACTAAGCTCTACCTGTCGTGTACTAAGGGAGGTGGTAGCTCTAGCCAATATTCTCAGCACCTGATTATTATTGTCTTGTACATTATTTTGTTTTAGAGTAAATTTCACATCTATTAATTATTCATGTTTTGTTTGTTGACTTTTGAATTTTACGTAAGCCAAGGGATTGTCGTTGTTCATATCTTGTTTTCTAAAGTAATTAAAATTTCATTGTTTATATTTTGTTTTGCGTGTCTTCCCATTACCTTACCACAGACAAACAGGCAAGCAGTCTCTTTTTATTTTATGTAAGTGTGACCAGGCATTGCCACCTGCCATTGGAGGACTGCCGAACATCAACACTCCAACACTTTACCGTCACAATATAAATACTTTTTGGTGATGGTTATAACTGTATTCTATTCCTTTTATATTTCCTGAATGTCTGCAAATGTCCCTTACATATATGTACTTGTATAGATTTATATACATTTTAAAGTTTTATGCACTAGTTAATAAGCTCGAAACATACTAAAAGGGCTTTTCTATTGTAGGTGTGTTGGAGCTGCAGGTGTGTGCAAGGACACTTCAGGTGTGTATGAGGGAGCTACAGGTAATGTCCACCGTGCCCTCCACATGGTCACTGCTGTTAAAACCACTTGGGTCGCAACACGTGGGGAGCTCAGGTTACAATACATGAACACATTGCAGGTATGATATGCATACAGGTGTGTGAGGAAACTACAGGTATGTGCGAGGGTGCTACAGGTGTGTGAGGGAGCTCGGGTTACAATGCAGGAACACATTGCAGGTATGATAAGTATACAAATGATGTAGGTTTTAAATCATTGAGGACAACATTGGTTTTATTAACATAAATTCAGATGTTTCTTATAATAGGGCATTAGACATCAGCAAAAGAACTCTGGGAGATTTTACTAGTCATGTATTAATGATGAAGATGCTGTTGATAATGTTCAAAGACTGACAACAACAGTAGTATCTACTGAAAATGTTTAAAATATTAAACTAAATATTTTCACAAGCATAGTGAAGGTCAAGCGGACATAATATTCAATTAATAATATTCTCTGAAGTGACTGGTGGTGTTATACGATTCGTTTTTAAAGCCGTGTGTATACTATTCCAGTATGTTTGAATCTCGTAATCATGGAATAATTTTGATAGAGCATGAACAAATCGGGAACAAGAATAAAAACGTAAGAACATGGGGATGAAGGAAACTGCAGAAATCCATACGAAGTCCACACCCCATTGGTCCATACGAAGCAGCTCCTATTTATATCCACCCAAACTCAAGAGTTCCTATGTCTTGTGTTACCCAGTAATTTGTTCTAAAAGTCAACAACGCTGTTACCAAACTAGTATTTACCCAGGTCTTTCCTAAATCTAAACTTGTTCAATTTATATCTATTATTTCGCGTTCTATTCAGTGAAACATATAATACCTTATTAATATCTCCCTTATTATGCCTATTCGTCCACTAGTACACTACAATCAATTCCTCACACGGAAGGTGTTATGGCCTTACTTGGCCAGTAACCGGGTTCTTTATCTCAATCACTGTAACAAGAGAGCAGTACATAGTAGTACATCATGAACATCATAACAGCATGAACAAGCCACGTGGAGCATGAACAACCGACAGGCGCGGCGCCAGTCAGGTGGCAGCAGACAATGAAAAAAGTTACACCTCTGTACAAGTTAACCATGGGGACAGGTCAACCGTCACCGAGTCACGAGGTCAGAGTTGATGCCGTCATGATAATCTACAGGGATTAACTCCTCCACATCAAATGCAAACCCTCATGTTCAGGTGGGGAGCAGGAGATTATGGCTCATCACCCTCTTAACCCCCAATGTATCTTCCTGTATATAAATAAAAATGGCGTTGGTATCACCACCTCCCTCACCAGTGAGAATTGTCATTGATCCACCTTTTAAATGAATATGATCAGGAGCATTCCACATGTGGGAACCGACCTGTGAGATTTATATTTATTTAATTTATATGAATTTATATTTACGTTAATTTATATACTTCGATAGCAATTTGTATAATGATAAGTGGACTGTATTTCTGCAATAATCTCTTAATCTCACAAATCGATCCTCTACACATTAGGGGGGGGTTATTAAATTAATATATATGCAGCCAATCAAACTACAGTAATAGCTACATACATTGATGAGGTTCCTTATCTTATAGTACAGCAGGTTAGTCCACCAGGTATAACTAGGGTGTAGACACCAAATTATCCTCTTTGAGGTAGCTTCCATATCACCCAGTAACTGGTGCACAAATCTTGCTTCCTCGTCTTGACCTGTCAAAAGTGCGCTAGCTGTGAAGCCAGAATCCTATAAATGACAAGTATATCAGAGAAAACACTATACAGTACATGGAACATGAAGACCTGGCTTAATTACCTTTAGTTTGAGGCGATTTCGCGATCTAACCAGGTCACCCTATATCCTGACATTAATGGCCATAAATGAATGATAAACGGGTTTCGGATAGACACTTAACTTGAATTGTAGACATCGTGTTGGAGATGGTACCTTTGGTTTCCATAACACTACGTCCAAGTAAAATTAACAGGAGCCGTATTTGCTCCCGTGTGCCTCTGGTCTCGTATACACAATGGCTGTTTAACACTCCATACTATTGACGTTACTGGCCGACATTGTCCAGAATGATAGGAGCCGAATTTGCTCCACACGTCTCGGAGGTGACACAACAATGCCTGCCCTCCTTCCTCACTCTGACGCCTGGCCTACTTTGTCCAGATTTCAGAAAGTGATAGAAGGGTCACATTTACTCTACTTTAATATTGATAATTAAGTTAATTTATATAAGATGTTTTTATGATGGTAAAGTCCAAAGACTAATGTATTTAAGAACAATTCCCAGCAGAATAGCTGGTGAATTATAATAGTATGTGGTGATGATATCCCGTTTTCTTTAGACGGTAATTCCACTACAAGTTACGTTTTCTATGGGTAACTTGTTGGTAATACAGCTATTATCTGTATGATTATTAAATGGTGTCGGATTTTCCGACATAATTCCCCAGGGGGCTGCTCACGGGTCGAAGTCCTATTTAGAACAGACGAACACCGATACTCCTCCTTCGGATTATTAGATTAATCACACATTTGTGCGTCTGTTCGTACAGGACGGATGTCCCGTACTAGAGTTGCAGGGGTTAGAAGTCTAATGCGATTTCATTTCCCTGTCAACTCTTGAAAGGCTAATATTCAAGCCTTATTACATATTATTTAACCCAGAAGACTGGATGTGATCAAGTACTACAGTCAAGTATGATTCAGGGACTGCAGTGAGATCAGTGACATTAGATATAACTTGAAGTTTCTTCAGGTAACTGGTCACTGATATATAAACACTGAGGCCCATGGAATTCATCTTGATTAAATAATAAATGTATCAAATCAGTCATCAGATTTATTGGGGTTTAATTTAGTTAATTGATTCAGAAGATTGAATAGCTCATCATTAAAGTAAAGTATGGTTCTGAGACTGCAGTGGGTTCAGTGACATTGGTCGCAGTGACTTGTAGCTGTTTTAGGCTACTGTTCACTGATTTGCCACTGAGGCCTCATGAACTCATCTTCAGCTTTAAATGATGATACTAACATCAACCTCTGTTGGTATAGTCAGCTGTAATCTCCTTAGTATAATGCTACTGGAGAAATATAATCAGCTGACAAATTTAGATTTCTACTGGTATTGTTTATCTGCAGGCATAGGTCTCCTCAGGCTTGATACTGGGCCTGAGAGTAATTTACCTCCTGCAGAGTTTAACATGGTTATACCCTGATATTTAGTAGGGCTACCGATGAATCGATGGCAATAGTCTGTCCCAACAAGGAGACCGAAGTCAGCGAGGTGATCAGACTTAATATTATCTGCCAATTTTATTCCTCTATTTCTCAGGAATTTGGTTGTTGCTCTCAGACCTTGAACTTGTAGGTCTACTGGTATTTTGTCCACCACAATGGCTTGTACTCGACAGACGTACCTGCCTAAACGTACTGATGGTTGTACCACCTGGTAGACTTGAGGTCCTGCATCTGTTACAAACCCTGAGATGTTGAATGACATCTGGGCTACAGGCCTTAATTGTAATTCATCTGCCAGCTTTTTAGTAATATATGTTCTCTGGGATCCTTGGTCAAACAACCCACGGGTATGGACCTTGGCCCTCTTATTCAGGATGGTAATTTGGGCAGTAGGCAAAGTCGTATTACCTTTAGACTTTGCTGATTGGACACTCTTTGTTGGTTGCACCTTGCAGTACTGTACTGTGGTGGGAATGCTATCTTCCACCTTGGGGTTTGGATACGTTGTTTTGGTGTCTCTGCACAATGCTGCATGGTGCTGACCTTTGTTACACCTATTACAGGTGTGTAATTGGGTATCACAGTCCTTGATGTTATGTTTCCTGAGGCACCTCGTGCAATGTTGCAAATCCTTGAGTCGCTCAACACGGGCGTCACTATCAGGAAAATTAGAGCAGTGGTACATTGAATGTTTCTCATTGCAGAACAAACATGTTCCATAGCTTCCAGTACCCTTTGGTGTCACGTTCTTGGGTGACACAGTAACTATAGGCTTGGAGGGTCCCACTGCATATACGCCCACACTGCTACTGTTCCACTTTGGTGTTGAATTATATTGTCTAGATTGATTTGGAGTACCTTTGGTACTCTGTGGTTTACTATTGTTGGTTTCTGAGGGTTTACTTGGTGGTTTTAATTTGTCATGTGTTCGTAATTGATGAACTACTGACTTTAAACCTTCAGATATTTCATTCATGGATAAGATGCTTTTATTGTAATGAGCACTCATTTGTCTCAATATGTCCCTAGGTATTTTCTCCTGGACAATTATTTTCAAGACCCACTCAGCCCCGTTTGTATCTGCTGTCAGGCTGAGGGCATTGATCAATGATTCTATCTCCAGCTTGAAAACTTGGAGTGAATCAGCTGAAGCCTCCGGTGGGGGTAAATGCAACATCTCATGAACTAAATGTGATGTTCTTACTTCTGGATCAGCATAATTATCCTTGAGGAGTTTTACTGCCAGATCATAGCCGTCATTAGTTAATCTCAGATGGGATACTACTGTTTTAGCCTCACCTGATAATTGGCCTTGCAAATAAGAGAATTTACTACTCTTTGGTAAAGATTGTTTTGAGTCTACAAGGTCAACGAATTTGTTCCAAAATTCATCCCAATATTCCTCATCTTTTCCTGAGAAAGTGGGTAAATTAATTGGAGGGAGTCGAGCTTCTGCTTGACTCGTATTAGATGCAACTGTTGCTGTTGTTGCTGTTGTTGTTGCCTTGTTCTGGGCAATTAATTTGACATAAGGCTGTAACGTGGCCTGAGTGTGATCTTCATAATTCGCAAGATCAACCATAATGTCGTCTATTTCTGTTTCTGATAAATTGGTGTTGGCAAGTTCAGCCACATATGTTGCTATTTGACATTTGATTTGCTCAAATTTACCTGCAGCTGCTTGATAATAGCTTTCCAGGTCAGCATAATCAACTTGAGATTGTTGTGACAAATCTTCACATTTCTTGATCTGTCTTGTTAAGTGGCCTTTAAGACCTGCAAGGGTTCTTTTCATTCTCCCTGCATTATCCATACTGGCTCGTTGGTGAAGCCTTGTGGGGCTTGTACTTGGGCTGCTCATAATACTGAACAAGCTCTAATGGTAGCCTAGGGTTAATTCTGCACTCACTAGGCAATAATCCTACCTCTACTAGAGGTTAGCACTTAAAATTAATACACATTATATATATATATATACAATCATCCACACTAATGATTTGAGTGATAAACCAGTGTCACTGGAAGTACCTTTAGGTTAGCTCTTCTATATCACCCTAGGATGGAATTGACACTAATTAATCACTCAAAGGTGTAATGATCATAAGTAAATTATTATATATACAAACTCAACTCGAGTTGATAAAAATTACACCCAAAATAGGGTCTGGACCATTCATTAATGGTGTTAGGTTAATCAATATAGTACAACTGACTATGGTAATAATGGGACTAGGATGAACGATAATAGTTCAACTAGTCATATCCTACCCTGTTGTGGGTTGGCAATTAGTAAATATTATATTGAGAACACTAGTGCAGTATATATTAAATAATTCTCTAATTGGAGAAATAATATACACAATTATTGATAATAGCCTCTTAATTAGCCTCTATGAAACTTCTATTATTATCTAGAAGTATTAAATATTATTAGTGACCTCGCGAAATAAAGTCCACAAAATTCGTAGATAATCTCTCGCGAAATGTAACACCACGAAATCCGTGAACAATCTCGCGACACAGTCACTAAATTGGCTGGCTTCTATATTAGCGCTGTCATTTCACAGAATAACACTCCACCAAATATGTGGGTGTGCATGAAACCGCTGACGAAGCTGATCTGGGCTGAGGGAGGCTCCTGAGCTCCCACGAGGCTTCGCCGCTGTCTTTGACTGGCTTTGTTTAAATAACACTGCACTAGTATATTTAATGAATCCACTGGTTAACTGGTTCATCCGGTACTAAGATGACCAAATGTGGGTTCATAGGACCGAATATTCCGGTTCCGAAGGACCAAATAATGTGGGAACCGACCTGTGAGATTTATATTTATTTAATTTATATGAATTTATATTTACGTTAATTTATATACTTCGATAGCAATTTGTATAATGATAAGTGGACTGTATTTCTGCAATAATCTCTTAATCTCACAA